GCATTTACTTTTGCTGATATCTCTGCAAAATATCTGTTTGTTAGCTGATATTTCAGCAAATAGTTGTTTGTTAGTATATGCCCTGTCCACCGACAAACCGACATGACACTTAATTCTTATTATGTCCGAAAATCGTAAACGGCCGATTTAAATGTGCAGTGATCTGAACTGTCAAAATCATATGATTTTTTGATCTAGATAAAAATAATTTGTTCAGAATAGATCATACACGAACCAATTCATAAATTTTGCATGCGGATTTCATGGCTTTGCTAAATATTTCCCATGAACACGGAGCCAGATGTCAGTAGTGTGCTTTGGTCAGAAATTTTATTGATTCTGCTATGGTCATTCATGTCGGTTTATCGGTGCCCTGTCTGCCGATTTCCATTTATTTGCTATCCATTTTAAATATTTTGTTTTATCCCACATTCAAATGCAACAATAATTTCAAAATGTTGTTTTTTTTTTTTAAACATGAAAAGCATGTTTAAAATAAAAATAATTTATTTTTGATCACATATAGTTGTCAAATCAACAAAGTATTCACGTTTATTTTCAACACGTTTGAAATCAACCTAGTTTATGTTTATGACCAGAACAAACTGATTTTATGTTTAAATTTACCTCAAAAATATGTTTGTTCCGACGGTAAATTTTTCTGCGTGTTCTCTAAAATCGGACAACCAACAACAAAGGTATTTTCAAACATTATAATTTACTTGCGAAGTGTCAAAGTTAAGTGAAAATTCACCAAATGGAACGCAGGATCAGTTTCTATACGCCTTTTTAATGCACCACCACGTAGAGTGCGCCACGCGAGTTCGAGAAGAAACGTCAACCAAACCGTTTGTTTACATCAGAATAAGTATTTTCCCCAACGCAAATAACAGCATTTTTCATTCAAAATCTTGCCAATTTCCATCGGCAATTGTCTTATTGTACGATTTTCCACAAATCTGAACTGATTTGCTCTTTAACTATTCACACACAAGAAATCCGGAAGATCATAACCACTAAGGCACTTTTCTAATTTTTCATTTTTCTCAACAAAAATATTGCTGAACACCAGCAGGATCTTTTCCAAAACGTGACAGAATTAAATTTTTCAACTGTACATTAAGTTTTGCAGCATCTCAGATGAATCAATTTATCAGGAAAAGTAAAAAAGTGTTCCACTTCCTATGTCTCAAGGCAAAAATTTATGCTCACAACACTCTTTTTGACGTTCTCCTATTGACCACCAGAGGTTGAATCGATCGTTTAGTTTCTATTAAAAAGGCCAATAGTAGACAGTAGCGTAAAAAGCTGGATAGATTTTCGAGCAGAAGTTGAATTAAAGGTTTCATGTCGGTTTGTCGGTGGTACTCGGAGCTCAACACGTAGGCTTTTGTGCACAGAGTGACATGAAGAAGAAAAGTGATATTTAGTTATTGTGTGTTTGGATTCGCTGGAGGAGGAATTGTTTAAAAATGACTAGAGAAAATTAAGCATCGAGAATGCGCTCCCGGATGTATTGATTTGGTGAGTACGTTCCAGTTGAAGATTGTTCTCTCTAAATATCCCTTTTTTGAATACGTTTCATCAATCAAACATTATTATATGTTGGGTTTGGGGGGGGGCAGCCTAAGGGTTTCAATGGATTTGTAGACTGGACAAGTGTTCGTGGATTTGCCAGTCCCTTGTCACGTGTTGATAGACGTACATCTTGTCGTTTGTCTTCCAAAGGTCTTCAATGAAGTTGATTCACCCAGCTGCAACAAACCATCAGGCAGAACTTTACAACCAGTGAAGTATCTGCAGTCATATGTAATCCTTGCACTGATGGTGGGTTCTATTCACATCACATGTTCCCATATAAAAAAGTGAATTTGTGTCGCATATATTATAATCTCATCTGATTCTGGATTTTACAGTCAGCTTCACAGGTGTCAACCTCCTGCCCAGGAATAAGGAAAACTTCGTTAAAGTCTCTTATTGTGTTTCCCTTCCGACTGGGGGACTTGTAGACTTCGGGGCAAACTTTCTTTGACGGTGGTGGATTATTCCCTTCGTTCGCCTCCGTATCCGAAACTGGCTACATCTGTTCCAATTCTGCTTCAGCCTCCAAGCGAGTCTTGAACTCTCTTTTTTTCACTCAATTGATACGTTCCCACATTGGGTTTGGCATGGAGAACTCGTCTTGAGAGAGTTTCGCTACCGCGTTTTTTTTTTTTTTTTTTTTTTTTTTTTTTTTTTTTTTTTCCGGCCAGTGTAGGATTCCAGCTTCTTTCCAACCAGAAAGAATTACGGTTAGGCATGTTTCGCATCTTTCAATTGTTTGTACCACTTTAAATGGCATTTTTTCCGCACTTGAACTTGGACGACACTAGCTGACTCCCTTCCGAAACATTTTGAACTGTCACTTTTCTCCAGGCAACTTTGTCATCATAAAACTGAACGGTACCAAGTCAAGTCAAAATGGATAATAAATAAACAATAAGGTATTCAAATTTACTTTATAAATGCTATAATAAACCATTGTGCAGCGATGATCGAGACGTTTCCGTCGGATAAGATTATTTTGCGGCCGAGTGTCTAGGAAGCTATGGAAACCGAAATGGCTCTTGATTTTGTTTTATGCCCTTATAGTATAAACCACCATCGCACTTTATGAGTTGCCCCAATAAAACCCTTGCTTTTGGTTTGAATCAGTACAAATTCGTTCTATTATATAAAAAAAAAAAAAGAAGTATACATATTCATTTTCTTCCGAACTAAATAAACCACCATCACACTTTGTGAGTGGCCCCAACAGTATCCTTGCCGTTGGTCTAAATCGGGTCAAATCGGTTCTAATAATTATTTTATATTCAATCAAGTAAACCACCATCACACTTTGTGAGTGGCCCCAACAGCATCCTTGCTGTTGGTTTAAATCGGTTCAAACCGCTTATAATTAATTATTTTGGTCATTGATAAAATAAAATAAACCATCATCACACTTTGTGAGGGGCCCCAACAGTATCCTTATTGTTGGTTTAAATCTGTATACACACATCTAATAATGATCTACATCTCTAGACAGCCGGCTGTTTAGAGCATAAATCGAAAACACTTATAAATAACTACACAAAACAAAAGATCGCATCACTTATCAAGGTGAATCCTGATCCAACGAACCTAACCCACTAACAAAACCTCCTTCCTGTGACTTTTGTGGGATGCAGAGGTAAACACGGTCCCAAAACAACAAAAGTCACACACTAACATTAGGTTTTGCACCGTCGGGGTTAACCTCAATCTGATGACAGTTTAGTGGTACTGTTTACGTGGACTTAGCCGATTTTTTCTTGGGTGGATTTTCTCGATAATTTTTCAGACTGCAGTGAGATGTAAACCACATTTCTGCAATGTCCACGAGCAACATCCTTGCAATGCGCTGTTCCTCGACAATTTTCAAGTTAAAATTAGGAAATTTTAGAATTTTTTTTTTTCGAAAAAACGACTAAGGCTCTGAACCATTTGGTGGATTATTTTAACTTTTGGTTAAAATTTGACAGATGGAAAATTATCGATTAACCCTGCTATCCGAGCATGGTTATTTCTGACAGACAAGAAGTTAAATTTTGACAACCGTGGCTCGAAAACCGGTCGAGCGACAGCACAGGGATTTTCGAACATAGAAAATAACTTTCGAAATGTCACTTTTAACCACGAGTTAAATTTAACTCGGCAAATGGTTCACAGCCTAAGTGCTTGTAAACAGTACCACTGAACTGTCAAAAAGGTTCAGCCTATTAACACTGAGTTCATTTGTGACGTCACGCTGCAGAACCTAATTAGGTTCTGCAGCGTGACGTCACGAATGAACTCAGTGTTAATCGGCTGAACCTTTTTGACAGTTCAGTGGTACTGTTTACAAGCACTTAGTCGTTTTTTCGAAAAAAAAAATTCTAAAATTTCCGAATTTTAACTTGAAAATTGTCGAGGAACAGCGCATTGCAAGGATGTTGCTCGTGAACATTGCAGAAATGTGGTTTACATCTCACTGCAGTCTGAAAAATTATCGAGAAAATCCACCCAAGAAAAAATTGGCTAAGTCCACGTAAAAAGTACCACTAAACTGTCATCAGATTGAGGTTAACCCCGACGGTGCAAAACCTAATTCCTTCCCTCTCCCACCTGATTGCAAGGACGTGGCCGGTGACGTTATTGATCTTTAAAGGTAGGGGTAGAGTCGGTGTATAATGAGTCACGCCAAGAGTGAAGCCAAGTCTACCTATTGAACTGTCAAACTGGCTACCTATCGTGCAAAGTAAATAAACATTACGATGCTATGAAAGGTCCACGAAAGGTATTGCAATAAAATATAAAATATAATCGAATAAATGAGCATAAACACGCAGTGAGCGCTAAATTGTCATGGGATACGCTCGGTTATGATTAGTTATGAGAATTTCTACTATTTTTTGTTAAGATAATGTGACAAAATCACTAATATAATGATTTACTACAGCCGCAATATTTTTTCTCTCGCTAGAAGTCATTTGAAGTTGTTGTAGAAGTTCTCTGTTGCCAAATGAAAAGAATGGGAATCTTCCGAAAACCGTGATGCGAGTTCAACTGTTTTTCTCTTGGCGTGACTCATTATACACCGACTCTAGGTAGGGGTCACTGGAACATGTACACTGAGAATGGCAGGTTACTACCAAGCCCCATTCAGTTGATTCTTTGTACAATTTCACTGGTTCAGATCAATCACGGAGTGCAACTATCGATACGTGCAGTCAGACTAAGCTAAGCTAAGCTAAGGTACTCGGAGCTCAACACGTAAGCCACTTTTACCCGAAAACTTTACCTTTGTACCCAGTAATGAGCTGCTTAAAATAACCGTGTTTCTGACAGTTCTCCCCCACATGCTCATGCATGTGTTGGTGTGCTCTGGTGTCAGCTGTCAGTTGACCTCGCGAGCAACGTTCTTGTTCCTTTTGCGACTCTGTCCGTCGTCCATCGGGCCATCAGTTTACTCCTCCGTCGCGTTGTGTTTGGATCGTGCGAAAACTTTTCCGTTCCGTCTCCGCCGAGTGTCGAAAGCGGTGCTGGTGCTGATGGTGTTTGCCTGGTGACCTTTTTCCTCTAGCGTGTCGCGAACTTGATGGCAAATAAATTTATTGTGCTGTTCGTATAGGTGTTGGTGATGTGATTTTGATTACGGTTTTTGTTTTTCCTCTTAGGAAAAGTGCGTTTTTGTTTTTGTCTCGACCCGCGCCGTAGCAACGAACAGCTGACTGCGAGTGCGAGAAGGCGCAGAGCATCGGAACGGGATCCGCTTTCTGTCGTGTCTTGAACCACCCACCAACCCCCGGCCCCTTGAGAGTGAGGAGTGTGTGTTTTGTTTTTCATGCTAACGAGTAGAATCATTCCACCGAAGAAGTAGTGCTTTGTTTTGGTGGAACGGTGTGCAAATCCAAACGCGGAGGGCGAGAAATCCCAGATCCGGAACTCCAGAGCGTAGAGCTGTTTACTATAGGTGCGATCCGGATCTTTCGCGGTAAGTATTGATGTGGTGTATGCGCGGAGAAGTTGTTTGCACGGCAACAAAGCTCCCCCGTATCACAAACGACAACAGCTTGATAATGATATGCAAAAATGCATTTGCAGTGCAGCGGGAGGGACACAGATATATAGAGCAACTGCTGGTTGACTACGGGCTACTGCAAGAACTCTGTGTTTGGTTTCAGAGATCAAGTTACGAGAGTTCTGTGCTGCTAGCAACTCTCATTCTAGCCGTGGTTCCCGGACCGAAACGGAAGAAGGAAAATTCGAGTTTCGAGTTTCTATAAATACACACCCTTTGGTAGAGTCGATGATTCCGTTAAAGCGCATACTTGGAGGCGAATTTGTCGTTGTCGGTAAAATATTACACTAGTGGAATGTTTCTGAGAAAGGGACTATTCTAGAGCAAACAGCAGAACCAAACTTCGTTATCTCTGCTGACTGTCCACATTGGATGTGTGTGCTCGTTTTTGCCATCTCTTTTTGTGATGGCGCTTCGTCTGCTGATAATGGCCAGATCTTGTCAATGCCTTGTCGAACGAATTATCAGACCAGCATTATTAGCAATTGATTGACTCTAATAGTGGTGTAGGTTTGACCATTTTATGAGACTTGATTGTTTGTATGTACGGGGGGATTATTGTAGATATATCCCACAAATTGTTATTAATTGATTCTAGATCGATATCATAGCAGCAGACCATCGACGTCCCTGCGGGCGGTGAAAACTGTACGGTTGCAGAGAGGCGTCGTCGTCGTCGTCGTTGTTCGGTTTTCTATTGAAGTAGAGCGCGCATAGTAAACAAACGGACGGCAAACAGGTTTCTCCGCGAAACCCAACAGCGGCGACTATCAGTGGAGGAATCTCGTCTCGGGCGCTGAAAGGGTTTGCTATCCACCATTCGCTCGCTGTGTGGTATGCAGCTGATAAGAAAATGTTTACCTCTTGTTCCGAAATCTTTGTCGTTCATATGCACTCGGTGGGCAGCGCCGACGCTGGTTGGGACCAGAACTGTTCACACTCGATGGAAAGGTCTAAACTGCGCACTCCGGAAATGACACGGTACAGACTCTTTTCAATGTACATTAGATCCATGAATCACATCTCGTGTGTTCCGCGACCCTGAACCTGATGAGATAGCATACTGTATATATGGAATGGTGGATGAATATCGATCATAGTAAACTTGGTTGGCAGTCATCAGAATCAGACCATCATTTTTTTAGAAGACATCATAGTAGTCTACGATTCCTACTGGTGTGTCCTGCGTGTGTACCGAGCAATTCTAGTTTCCAAAAAATAAGAAAGTTTGTCGATTCGCTGAAGCTTACGATGAACAACGATGACTGCTAAAATTACATCACTTGGCCATTCACAATGAAGACAACGATCGTTTGGGAGAAATTGCGAAAGGCTTTTCAAGACAATTGTTAAATAATTTATCGGAACGAACGAAAAGCAAGGGCAGTTACGAAACAGGCATACGAAGCAACGTTACTCCAGCCTTGGAAAAAGTGTTGGAGCGTCCTAATAATGTAATACCGCAGCGTTCCAACCAAACTGTGGTAACTATAACCAGTGATGTCACCAGGATTCTAAAATAACGAATGATGAATGAAGATAAGTTCATGTTTTAGGAATTGTTCCATCCAAATAATAACGATGTTCCATTCAAGTAATCGCAGCAACCTACAGCTGCGACCGAGATGGAAAAATTAGTCATTCGAAGTGTAGATGTCAACCTGAATAAACGTATAGTGTAGATGTCAACCTGAATAAACGTATAGTTAGAAGCACTCAAACTTTCTTTATTCTTTGAGAAGAACACTTCAGTTGGCGACGAGGATTTTTCTGGAAGCTCACAAGTTCAAGAAATTCCAGAATCGAACCGAGGAAGGATGGCGGCGACAAACGAAGACCTCCAAACAGCGATTTTGCTGCTTCCCAGTGGTTGGCCGTTCCACAAGCAACGAACCCAGAGCAAGTTTTGGAATCCCTGTCGACGAACATCAGCGAGTTCTGCTTCGATCCGGAGAACGGCACCACATTCGAAAAATGGTTGCCCGTTACGACGCAGCAAAAGTTAGGCTTCTGCTCCGGAAGTTGGACACGTCCTCTCACAGTCGCTACGTCAACTACATCCTTCCGAAACGAACCAAAGGACGTCACGTTTGCCGATACCGTAAAGACACTCACAAAAATCTTCGGCAGACAGACCTCCGTATTCCACAAACGCTACCAGTGCATGCAGCTACTCAAGTGAGGCCGACGACATAATCACCTATGGCGGAAAAGTCAACAGGGCATGTGAAGAGTTCGAGTTCCAGAATTTGAAGATTGATCACTTCAAGTGCTTGATTTTCGTCTGTGGTCTCAAAGCACCACGCTACGCAGACATTCGAGCAAGGCTTCTATCCCGGATTGAAGGTAAAACGGCTGATGCTCAAACTCTGATCGACGAGTTCCAGCGGCTCGTCAACATCAAGTCGGACACTACGATGATCGAACATCCATCAAGTTCGAAGAATTCGGTCCATAGCATTTCGGAGAAGAAACCCGGAAACCAGCATCGTCCACTGAAAACGGAAAGCAAGTTTACTCCTCGTACTCAATGCTGGCAGTGTGGTCAGATGCACTACGTCCGTGACTGTCCATTTTCTGATCATCTCTGCAAGGTATGTAACCGCATCGGTCATAAAGAAGGCTACTGTAGCTGCATAAAGAAGTCTTCAAGCGACTCTTCAACTCAACCTCGAGAGAAGAAGCAGTTCCAGAAGAAGGCCGGTCCCAGATCTCAAGCCAAGGGAATTTTCGTGAAGCACATCGCAAACAACAACCGGAAACGCAAGTATGTGACCATCAACATCAACGGTGTCATGACTTCGCTACAACTGGATTCTGCAAGTGATATCACGGTGATTTCCAAGAAAACTTGGCAGCAACTGAGACGACCAAAGCTAACTCCATCATCGATCGAAGCCTCCAACGCATCTGGTGGACCACTCGCTCTCATCGGAGAATTCCATTGTGAAGCAGTCCTCAATGACATGGTCAAGCGTGGTCAGTGTTTCGTAACGTCATCACCAGATCTCGACGTAAAGGGTATTGATTGGATCGACATGTTCAACCTGTGGTCGGTTCCGTTCGATACTCTCTGCAATCAAGTTTCTGCTGTATCCAGACCATATTTCACCGAAGCTAGAGTACAGCTGCAAGCCGAGTATCCGGCGGTTTTCGACGACTCGCTGGGCCACTGCAAGAAAACCAAGGTAAAGTTATTCCTCAAACCTAACGCCAAACCAGTTTTCTGTTCGAAGCGACCAGCTCCGTTCAACACGATTCCGCTGGTGGATGCAGAATTAACACGTCTTTAGTCTCTGGGAATCATCACGCCGATCGATTTCTCAGAGTGGGCCGCTCCGATTGAAGCAGTTCGCATCTGTGCGAACTACTCCGCGGGACTCAATGAAGCACTTGAAGCAAACCACTATCCTCTACCTACCCCGGAGGAGATCTTCGCACAGCCCAACGAAAGCACCATATTCAGCATCATCGACCTTTCCGATGCATACCTGCAAGTGGAAGTAGATGAAGAATCGAAGAAGCTCCTCACCATAAACACGCTCCAGGGGTGAAGTCATCGTCTGGAACATTCCAAAGACTGGTTGACAGCATGATAGCTGACATTCCTGGTGTTCGGTCGTTTCTCGACGACGCTATCATCTTCGGAAGAATCATTGAGGAACACAAGGCGTCACTAGACAAGCTACTACAACGTCTAGGGGAAAATGGGTTCCATGTCAAGCTGGAAAAGTGCCATTTCTTCCAAACCGAAATCAGATATTTGGGGCATATCGTCGATCGAAACGACATCCGTCCGGATCCAGAGAAGCTTCAAGCCATCGCCTCTATTCCGGCACCCACCAATGTTTCCGAAGTGCGATCGTTCCTGGGAGCCGTTAATTTCTACGGCAGATTCGTGCGCAACATCCATGAACTTCGTCATCCTCTCGACCAATTACTCAAGAAGGATTCGAAGTGGCAGTGGAATTCCGATTGCCAACGGTCTTTTGAGCAATTCAAGCAAGTCCTGCAGTCCGATATGTTGCTGACGCATTACGACCCGAAGTTACCAATCATCGTAGCAGCGGACGTCATCTTCCATGAATTTTCGAATGGACATCTGAAGGCAATCCAGCACGCATCAAGATCCCTCACTCCAGTGGAGAAAGGTTACGGGCAGCCGGAAAAAGAAGCACTTGCACTAATATATGCGGTAACGAAATTTCACAAGTACCTCCTTGGGCGCAGATTCACCAAGATTTACTCTGCTCACTGATCACAAACCGCTGTTATCAATCTTTGGATCGAAGAAGGAGCGCAAATCGACTTCAACGATGGGCATTGATGCTTCTCAACTACGACTTCGACATTCGGCACGTGTCTACCAACGACTTCGGATGCGCCGATATGCTGTCAAGACTCATCGACCGTTCTAAGCAGCAAGAAGAGGAGTACGTTGTGGCAGCGATATCCCTAGAAAAAGACATGGTGAGCATTATTCAAAACACTATCGAGCAGGTGCCAGTTTCGTTCGCAGACATCAAAAGTGCAACACAGGCAGATGAACCACTACAAGCGGTGCTGCAGTTCATTCGTGAGGGTTGGCCAAACGATACACGATCAGTCGAAGATCCAGAGATTCGAGTCTTCTTCAACAGGAAAAAATCAGCGGCTCATCCGTTCTCATGCCAATCAACTGAAGCAACGTGCGGTCGAATCTGGTCCAGATCCTAGTCCAAGCCAAGGTCCTAGTCTTTTATCGGTATTCTTCGACGGTTTTGGCCTAGACGTACCATCCGTTCCAGCAACGATACCGGCTGCAGTGCCCGACGAACTTGGTCCAGTTGATGAAGAGCTTGGAAGACTCGTTTACCGGCAGACTCGTTTACCAGCTAGATTCGAGGAGTACTGGATGAATTAAGAGGGGAGATGTTCCATCCAAGTAATCACGATGTTCCATTCAAGTAATCGCAGCAACCTACAGCTGCGACCGAGATGGAAAAATTAGTCATTCGAAGTGTAGATGTCAACCTGAATAAACGTATAGTTAGAAGCACTCAAACTTTCTTTATTCTTTGAGAAGAACACTTCAAGAATAATGAAATATTTGTATCGTAAATCATAACTCAAACCTCCTTCTCCCTCTCCCCATCCATAAAACTGTAAATCTCTACTAACCTCGAGACGACCGCGAGTAATCGGTTCAATTCCTTTAACTCTAGATTTAAGACATTAATTATGTATAACGCAAATGATAACTTGGCTCTGTAAAGTTTGTTCGATTGAGCCCGTACAAATAAAATAATACAAGAAAAAAAAACTGGGGTGTCAAGACAATCAGGTCCCCACCATAATTATCTAGCCTCCCAGGAAATTTTGGTGTTTTTTTTTATACACCGGTATTTTGTCAAGCAGTTTCGATGTTACTTTTTATTTTTATTGATTCTTATAAATGTCTAAATGCTCTAGACTAGAAGAAATAATGTCGAGAATGTATATTATGTAGACATTTAATCGATAGTCAAGGGGTGGTGCCGGGAAGTCATTGAACTGAGTTTCGTTTGCTTGTGAATAATGCCTTGTTTGGCAACCCGGTATTTTAACAGCGCTTGTTTTTCGAAACCTGAGATGACCCGGGAGTAGGAAGGACATTTCCGTTCCGAGATACGGATCTTGCGGGTGGAGTTTCACCTAGTACGAGTCTACGTTGAGTGAGGAAAAGTTCCAGGTTTTTCAACAGCGGTTATTACCGTAGGCTGTCCCGAGTGATAAGTGAACTTCGCTCCTCTTCGAAGGCCCGTGTGTGCTAGTAAACAAAGCTCTATTTCAATGATCATGGCGTTTAACGGAAACGGTGCGGGCGGTGGCCAGGACGGGCCGCACAACAAGCGCCTCTGTACCGGCCAGAAGATGTTCGAGACGGTTCCGCTAAATAGTCGGAACAACAACAACATCAACGTAACAGATGAGCCTCGGCGAAAGCGTGAGGTAGCAACCCGGCCCAACCATATCCTGATGTTCACCATCATTAATCCAGTCTATCCTATTACAGTGGACGTTCTACACACCATCTGCTCACCCAACGGACAAGTGCAACGTATCAAGATATTCAAGAAGAATGGAGTCCAAGTTATGGTTGAGTTTGACAGCATTGAATCCGCCACCAGAACCCGCGGTGTATTGAACGGTTGTGACATCTACTCCGGTTGCTGCACTCTGAAGATCGACTATGTCAAGCCAGAAAAACTCAATGCTTACAGAAACGACACGGACTCCAGTTGAGACTACACATTGGAAGCAGCCGTCTCCAAGGATACCTGCAACGGACGAACCTCGTTGCTACACGATCCTATCATCTTCGGCAGAAGGCCCACCCAGCTCTTCTGGGAGTCGGTGGAGGAAACGGATTGGCACCGAATTTTTTACCGCCCGAGTTTCATCAGTCGGAAAAATGGAAACCAACACCGGCCGGAACACACATAGGACTGATGAAGGAAATACCGCTGACCCGAAACGGACCAGACAACTTCATTCAACCAGTACAGCAACAGGGCGCAGTGATGATGGTGTACGGGCTCGATAACAACACAGAGAAGTTGTTCAATCTGTTCTGCCTAAACGGAAATGTTGTCAGGATAAAGCATCCAGTACTTGAACAACATTCCAATCGGAAATGATGGTAGCAAAATTCAGATTGCATTTTCCAAACAGAACTACTTGTCAGAGTCCACCAACCCCTACACCCTGTCGGACAATTCTATCAGCTTCAAGAACTGCAGCGCCTCCAAGAACAATCGCTTCCTTTCCCGAGCAAGATTCTCCACTTCTTCACTACCCCACCCGGTATGTCCGAGGATCTGCTGCTGACTGCATTCACCACCGTCGTAAGTGCGAGTGTTCCCGCTGAAATCGGAACATTCCTCCTTATTGGTTGATTGGTTGAGCACCCGAGCGTAGCCCTTGCGGTGAATGCCATCATGAAGTGCAACCACGTCCAAGACGATGAACGGTACGTGGAGCAAAACATGGTCATGGGCTTGGCACCGGCACCCGGTAACCCAATGTCGGCAGCGGCCACGACAGCCTCCGCCGTGGCAGCGGCGTCCGGTGGTGTGACGCCCATTTCGGTGACAGGCGACTGTCCCAAATCTGAACACGATGAACCAATGTACTGTGTAGCAGATCGACATCTTTATTATTCTCTGATTGTCTAGTAAAAACATATTTCGAGACTACCTGCTAAAGGTCTAAGCGACTAGCAGATCCTAGCACAATATCTCACACAGGAATGACCATCCCTGACCTCCTTCGTCTGTGTCTCAAAAGACTTATCGCCCCAAAGTCGGTGTCAAATTTGTAAACACGCACAACAATCTTCCCCGCCATCGCCATCGATAAGAACACTTGATGGCTCAAAATTTATTCCCTCGGATATACTGCCTTCAATCGCATATCTGTCCCATATGGAAAAAGTAGGCATTGAAGAAAAGGCATTTGAAAAATCATAGTAAATTTATTGATAATTGATTCAAGTTAAAAATGATGTGCAATGTAACAATGTAACTTGACCTTTGGTTAATTGAATCTCAGGATTGGCAATTACTGACTTCATGTTGTTTTCACATTTTTCATGATCAAAATCCATTGTTCTATCACATAATATCAGGCATAACATTTGATAACGGCACAAAAGCATTTGTAAACAAACTTTCTAAGGCCCTTTACACGTGAACCAAATTATGCCCACGCAATCCAACAACATCATCGGATACGGGCAACTATAGTCTCTCGGAAAGTGGTATTGGTTTGCGTGTAAAGGGCCTTAGAAAGTTTGTTTACAAATGATTTTGTGCCGTTTTCAAATGTTATGCCTGATATGAAGGTAGATGCCAATTGTTGGTAACTCAAAATTGACGAACACCCACATGGGACTCTTATGCCATTATCGGCAGTATAGTAGACCAAGGTGACTACATATAGGTGTTCTAATGTGTCAAATTCATGATTCAGCCATGTTGGATTTTTGTATGGGACAGCGACCGAGTTTGTTTACAATTTGCTCTAAAACCGCACTTTTCCCCCCCGCGACCTCCTAGCCTATATAGTGCCAAAGCTGTATCACCATTTATATACCCACCATGTAGTAGACAACAGTCGTCCCGAGACAATCGGCATCTGCACCACATTGGTACTTCGTCACCCACACCGTCGCCTCCTTCGTTGTCGAATTATTTATTATTATTTTTTTTTAGTTGGAGACAGTTGAATCACCGAAAAAAAAAACGACAGCAACTGATAAAAATATTTCCTT